AAAGGGACGAGCATGTTTGGTGAGACGGGGATTCGAACCCGCGACCCTCAGATTGCGAGTCGAGCGCCTTATCCACCTGGCCATGCCGGGCCCTTAGTTTTGAAACCGGTCTTGATTCCTATAAGAATCACGTCATTAAAAGACGCTCACCAGTGGCACAACGGTAAGTTTAAGAACTCGGTTGCAATACCCATGGTAGGTACAGCACAGATAGTCCATTGTGTAGCTGTATGCTTAACTACGAATAAACATTAATAGTTTGACCGGGTTGGTTAAATTGTTAGGTGAAAGGGAGATATATTTCGGTATTAATAGCAGATTTATGGTTGTTTAGACGTTCTCTGAGAGTCATTTGAGTCTATTCTACATACTGGTGATTGCTTTTATTTATTAATTATTTTTACACCGTATGAGGCAAATGGTACTGTGCAAGTAATTTTTAGTACTTGCATTATTTTTGGTCATATTTTTCTGAGCAAAATGTCAGTAGTTTCATGAAATTGTAGGTTAGACGACGAGCTTTATTACGTGGATGACAACCATTCTTTTGTGGGATGCAATTAACTTGTGTAAACTTGTCTAAAAATTCTGCTTTTATAAAAGAAGACTATGGGAAATTCCGGAAAGGTATGTCTTAGGCCACCATTTACAGTAGATGGAAATTACGTTTTTTTTTTCGGAATACGCGAAACGTTCTCCAGTTTAAAGTGATAGGTAATAACAATAGGAATTTTGTTCGATTCTTCAGTATTATAATGTTTAAATACCTTATTTCAATTTAAAACCATAAACAAACCATATACGGAAATAAAATGTAAGTAATTAAACCATTAATAATTTCAATAAGATATCTATATTTAATGAGTAAGATATACGGTATGTATCTTACTTTTCTTTTACTTTAATAATGCTTACTTGTTAACGTTTTTAGTGTAATTTTTGTATTGTTAAAGTAAAAATTGTGGTTCCGTGCCTAATACATTTATTTTGAATCACTTGTAAGCTCCTTAAATTATTTTCATTTACATAACTTGAAGCTAGAGCTCAGTATTCCAATGATGTTCTTAAACACTTTGTTTGTTAATGACTGTATTACAACCTTCGTTTTTTCCCTATTATCCAGTTTTTACAATTTAGATCTTTTGTATATTTTTTGTAGTTTAAATTTTCAAAGTTTTGTGGTCTATCAAATGGAACTCTTGCTGTGAATATAGCTTTACTAAATAAGAATTTAATCTAAAACAATAGGATTGTTTATTATGAATTTCGAGCAAAGCTACACGAGGGCTATCTGCGCTAGCCGTCCCTAATTTAGCAGTGAAAGACTAGAGGAAAGACAGATAGTCATCACCACCCCCTCCAACTCTTGGGCTACTCTTTTATCAACGAATAGTGGGATTGACCGTCATATTATAACGCTTCCACGGCTGAAAGGGCGAGCATGTTTGGTGGGACGGGGATTCGAACCCGCGACCCGGAGACTGCGAGTCGAGTGCTCTAACCACCTGGTCACGCCAGGCCAAAACAATAGGATAGTCGATAAATATTACTTCGACTTTACTGTTTAACCTGTGTATCGCAAAAGGGGGGTGCCGTTCAGACTGAAATACAAATAACAGTTTCCTATCCAAATCCTCCATCTCGTAACTATAGTTCTTTAAAGCACTCTTAGAGGCACCCCTTTCATTATTATTATTTTAAACATATCTATCGGATTCATCTTATTTACTAATCTGATGACTATTGATCTCAGTCAAGTGTTTCGTATGCTATGATATCATCTAGTCTTTAAGAAACCATCAATCTAACAGATCTTGTCCTTGTAAATATACGAGAAAGTGTTATACGTGTTTGTTTTTAAGAGTTTTTGAGCAGTGCTATATACAATGATTTGTTTTTTAGAGCAAAGCCACATTGGGCTATCTGCTGTGTCCACCGCGGGAAATCGAGCCCCGAATTTTAGCCTTGTAAATCCGTCAACTTATCGCTGACCCACAGCATAGTCATCCCTAATTTTGAACTGATATGTTAAAGGGAAGACAACTAGTTAACAGTATCCAGCGCCAACACTTGTCTGAAAGAACATTGTGATGTGAACTTTACATTTATAACGGACTCACGAACCGAAAGTGCGGAACGCGTTTGAGGCAATGGAACACGAAAGAGAATCTTTGAATTCACAGTCCGGAAACGATAACTACTACATCACAACAGGCCCAGCGTTTCTGACACTATAGTTTACTGAATAAAGAATGGGGAATTCCAGAGGAACAACGATGTGTGAAATTACAATTTCATTTTATAGCATAAGGCAAGGTTCACTGCGTTTTTACCTTTATACAAAATAAATAAACTATAAAAATATTACATATTGCCAGTCTTTTGTTTCTTTCTGCCGTAACCAGCCTCTTCTCAAACAATAATTATAATTCTGTATAGTTCTTTTCACTAAAGGATACGCTTGTTTATCAGATTTTGATGTTAATAAAGTTTACAACAGTAATTAAATTTCTTTGGTGGTTAAAGCATTTGACTCGCAATCTGTGAGTCGCGGGTTCGAATCCCATCTATGAAAATTCTCTCCCTTTCAGATGTGGGGGAGGGGTTATAATGTGACGGTCAATCTCACTATTCACTGATAAAGAGTTGGCGGTGAGTGGTGTTAACTAGCTGCCTTCAAAATTATAGATGGCTAGCGCAGATATCCCTCGAGTATCTTTGCCCAAAACTCAATAAACTTTTTTTGCATTATATATTCTTCCCTTCTTTCTACATTGTTTGTTTGTCTGAATACATGCCGTTATGTGCCTCACCCCACCCCAGTGGCAGTAAGCTATAATCCGGGTTTCGATACCCGTGGTTGGCACAGTAGAGATAACCTGTTGTGTAGCTTTGTGCTTAACAACAAAGAAACAAACAAATCTGTAAGTATTGTTACTATGTAGTCTCTGTATCTATATAGTCAATCTTAAGTCCTCCCTAATCTCTTTCTATAAATATATGACCACTGATTGTCTATATGGCTAGTCTCTTCTACATGGTTTATATGTATCTATATGGCCAATCTGTCCTGTATAATTACCCTCTGTTCATCTGGCAAATCTCTCCTGTATGATTCGTCTTTATACCTTCAGCCTGTATGTCGGTATACTTATCCACATCAGGACCACACGGTTTTATACGTGTTTGTTTACTTATCCAACTTTATGGTTGTCTGTCAACCTGTTTGTTTCTGGGGCTGCTTGTCTTTCTGTCAGTCCATCTTCATCTGGGTAATGCAAGGAAAGAACGCATGCTTCTAATCTCGCGCTTTGACTGGGTGAACGTCACTTTGCGTGCTGACATTGTTGAAGACGGAAGGAGCGCGATGCTGTCATTCTTTAATATGGACTTCCCACCAGTTCCTCTCTTATTTTAGTATATCTATTATTCGTGTAAAGCTCAATATAAAGTTAGTCTATTACTTATAGCTGCGTGATAACTTGCACGTGCAATATACTTACATTACTACTGAAGAAACGGTTATCTTAATATAACTATGATGCCATTACTCCTAATAATGACGGTAAGTTGACATTTCATTCATCAAAATGGTTATTTTAATAAACTCTCTTAAAATATTTCAAATATACGGTTTTAAATTATCTATTTTTTTAACCTCTTAGAAAACGTTTGATATAAAAAAACAGATCTGTATGTTTTAGTAAACATAACTCCAAGAAGGTCTTCCGTTTGAACGTAATTTAAAACAGTTATGTGTGACTTATTATAGACCACAACTTATCCGGAAGTTATGTATGACTTATTATAGATCACAACTTGTCCGGTAGTTCTGTATGACTTATTATAGACCACAACTTGTCCGGCAGTTCTGTATGACTTATTATAGACCACAACTTGTCCGGCAGTTCTGTATGACTTATTATAGACCACAACTTGTCCGGTAGTTCTGTATGACTTATAGACCACAATTTGTCCGGTAGTTCTAATCTTTGAAAAACCCGTGTAAATTGAAGTGTTGAACGAGTAAACATACGTTAGACAAAACTGTCTTTTAAAATGAAGTATCTTAGGATGTGTACCGTTTACAATGTGGCAATACCATGAGCGTGATCTTAGAAGTTGTACATTTTACAATGTGACGTACCATGAGCGTGATCTTAGAAGTTGTACATCTTACAATGTGACGTACCATGAGCGTGATCTTAGAAGTTGTACATTTTACAATGTGACGTACCATGAGCGTGATCTTAGAAGTTGTACGTCTTACAATGTGGCATACCATGAGCGTGATCTTAGAAGTTGTACATTTTACAATGTGACGTACCATGAGCGTGATCTTAGAAGTTGTACATCTTACAATGTGACGTACCATGAGCGTGATCTTAGAAGTTGTACATCTTACAATGTGACCTACCATGAGCGTGATCTTAGAAGTTGTACATCTTACAATGTGACCTACCATGAGCGTGATCTTAGAAGTTGTACATCTTACAATGTGACCTACCATGAGCGCTACATGTATAAAAATGAGCTCCTCTTGTTTGAAGCCTTTTCAAACAATATTTCACTAGTTATTTTCAGCTATTAACTTTAATACCTGCTGGTCTGTGTGGTAATGCAGAGAGTAACAGAAGGTAATATAAAAATAAAGCTACATCACTAACAGTGTCTTTACGAAAACCCCCCCAGTAGCACAGCGGTATGTCTGAGGATTTACAACGCTAGAATCCGGGTTTCGATACCCGTGGTGAGAAGAGCACAGATAGGCTACTGTGTAGCTTTGTGCTTAATTACAAACAAACAAAGAAACTTCACGAAAAATAGAAGGTTATACAACGGGAACTTTTCAATTAGACAGTTTTCTATAGACTGTCGAATATCTGAAAAACATCATATTAAAACAGCTCTCTATGTATTAAATACTGATATAACAACCTGTATCGAACTGTTTCTTGTACAGTCCGTACTTGTACTTGTACAGTCTTATACTTCATCTGAGTCCGTTATTTTTCTTAAGAAATGGAAGGAGCTCTGAAACACCACTTTTTTCAAAACGAATTTGTTTAGTAAGCGACATTCTGTATCAGTAAGCTAGTTTTCCAACTGAAATCTTTCTAAAAGTAATTTATTCGCAATAAATACATACCGTAAAAAGTACGAGAGTTTTAAACTTATTATCTACCACACTTGGTTTAGGAACTGGTGTGGTTTTAAACAGCTATCCTCCATAAAAATAGTTTTAAATTATTATCTACCACACTTGTTTTAAGAACTGGTGTGGTTTTAAACAGCTATCGTCCATAAAGATAGTTTTAACTTATTATCTATCACATTTGTTTTAGGAACTGGTGTGATTTTAAACAGTTATTCTCCATAAATCGTTTACAAGACATTTTATGAACAGCTTTAGATAGCTGCTATTTCTTACCTGAACGGTACCTTATGCGTACATGGGCTAAATAGTCAGGCCAGAGACCGTCCCTAGTTTTTATCTACTGGCTAGAGAAAGGCAACTAATCACTACAATTAAAGTAATAAGGAGTTTTTTTATAGCTCTTTGACCCGAATAACGGGATTGACTGTCACTCTTAATCGCACCCTGCCCGGCAATGGCCATGTGGTTAGGGCGCTCGAATCGCAATCTGAGGGTCATGGGTTCGAATCCCCGTCCCACCAAACATGTTTGCATTTTCAGCCGTGAGGGCGTTATAATGTGACGGTCAATCTCACTATTCGTTGGTAAAAGAGTAACCCAAGAGTTGGCGGTGGGTAGTGATAACTAGCTGCCTTCCCTCTAGTCTTACACTGCTAAATTAGAAATGAAATAAAGTCATCAATAGCGATGTTCTCGATAGGGAACGCAAATGTAGATAGGCAGAGAAAGATACAAGCATTTTGACAGACTGAAAGGAACGCGGGTCTAGATAGGCAGAGAAAGAGACAATCATTTTGACAGACTGAAAGGAACGCGGGTCTAGATAGGCAGAGAAAGAGACAAGCACTTTGACACATTGACAGGAATGCAGGTTTAGGTAGGCAGAGAAAGATACAAGTATATTGACACACACAGGAATGCATATCTATATTGGCATAGAAAGATACAAGCACATTGACGCACAGACAAGAACACAGGTGGGCAGAGAAAAAGACAAGCACTTTGACACAATATCTAAGCAAGCGGACAGATAAACAAAGAAGGAGATAAACAGACAAATACGCAAGCAGCTAGGCGGATAGGCATTTTGAGAGCTAGAAAGATAGAATTTTAATAGAGTTATTTTTCTGGAAATAGAGTAAACAAAGCAATCGTAACAGTTACAAGATTCCCAAAGGTAAGACTTTTACCAGAAATGGAAGTTCTGAATACTTTGAGTGCGACTAGCTGTTGACGTGATGAGCCTCGTTACACCATAATCCGTCAAGCTAGTGAATCGTTCAACAAACTACAAGATTTCCTTTTCATCCGGATGAGCTAGATGTGACACGATGTTAACCTCTTTATTATCTTCCAGAAGACGACTTTCACTCAATCGGATTTCTCTAGTATTAAGTTGATTGTTCTTCAGGTACCATATAGTTCTTCTGATTGACAGAAACCCCAGACGGCTGTTCTCAGCTTTCTTTATCAAAAAAAAAAAAAATAGGCATGTCATATCGCAACATAGAGGATATGCATGCCACGATTTCTTAAAATTAAATTTTACTTACCGAAAAAACGGAAAGTGAAAAGAATTGTATCTCATTAATTTAACGTA